ATCCATACTGAAGGCTGTGGTCTTTGATCTTCATCAATACGGGCTTCAAGCCATCTTCACTTTCAGCAAGCAAGGTTTTTCATCAGCGAATCGCAGGTTGTGAATGAGTCTTCCTCTAATCCTGATGCCACATTCTTCTTCATCTAGTTCAGCTTCTCAGATTATCTGCTCAGCATACGGATTGAATAATTATAATGAAAAGATACAACCATGATGCACACCCTTCCTGATTTTAAACCTTGCAGTGTCCCCTTGTTCTGTTTGAATGCAGCCTCCTGGTCTCTGTACAGGTTCCTCATGAGGACAATTAAGTGTTCTGGAATTCCCATTTTTCCCAATGCTATCCGTAATTTGTAATGATCCATGCACTCAAATGCCTTTGCAAAGTCAATAAAACACAGGTAGACATCTTTCTGCTGTTATTTGCTTTTAGCCAAGATCCATCTGACATCAGCAATGGTATCCCTCATTCCACACCTTCTTTGGAATCTGGCTTGAATTTCTGGCACTTCCCTGTCAATATACTCCTGCAACCATCTTTGAATTATCTTCAGCAAAATTTTACTTGCATGTGATGTTGTTCGATAATTTCCACATCCTGTTGGATAACCTTTCATTGGAATAGACACAAATAGCAATATCTTCCAGTTGGTCGGCCAGGTAGCTGTCTTCCAAATATCTTGGCATAAACGAGCAAGCACCCCCAGTGCTGCCTCCATTTCTTGAAACATCTCAGTAGGTATTCCGTCAGTTCCTGGGGTCCTGTTTTTCACCAGTGCCTTCAGGGCAGCTTGGACGTCAATGTAAGATGAGACCACTCGTCCGTCAGTTGCTGTCCTGTGGTGGCTGGCCTGGGTGCTGTGATAATAGAAGCTCTGCCACCCGTGTTTCCAACACCAGCAGGGCCACCATGGTGGATGGGTGTGGCCGTTAAGGTTGTGTGTTCACTTGGCTGGCCCTGGTTTTGAGTGTGGGCGGTTGGATGCAGCATTGCCCATGCTGAGACTGGTCATCAGCTCCGTGGTGGGATCTACTGTGAGCAGCTGAGTAGCTGTCTTAGGGGTGTGCTCTGCTCCCAGGACATAAGGAGAAGCTTTAGGAATGGTCTGCAGCTTTTTGGCACCCATGAATCCTGAACGGAACTGAGTCACTGCTCAGCAGCCTGCCATGTCGTCTGCCAATCTTGGGACTCTTACTGGATCGATGGCCTGCTGTATGCCTTGGTAATATTGGGACTGTGCCTTTCTGCTTACCGACCTTGGGCTTGTCAGCCTCAGCAGCCAGCAGCCACCTGAGTGAAGAAAGCCTCCAGCTTCAGTGGGCTG